TTGAAAGATGATCTTGTCCCCTATGCTGACACTTATGAAGATAAATGCTGAAAGATTGATCGGGCAAGTCAATACACTGAGAACAGCATGCAGATGAGCAGCAGCAACCGCGGCAATCTGAATGGACATCATGTGAGTTGGAAGGAGAAAAAAACGTCTACAAGTTAGACAAGCAGGATGATGCATGGTTTGTTCTTCCATGTTGAAAAGAAACGACCAAAGAAGATGTCTTGAGGTGTTCAAAGAGGGAAAATTGGAAAAAGAGAAAAACCAAATGGATTTTCTTGCAATATGCACGTCACCACTCCTTTTGGCGATAAGAAAGAGAATGAGTTGGTTGGGGAAATCACATGTTCAGTGCATGTAGGTCAACTGGCATGAAATCCAGATTGTTGGGAGGTGACCATAGTGATGCTTGGTGTGTTTAGGTGGATTGTTTTTTTTTTAGAAGCTGGAAACCTTTGTTCAGGCATGTTTCCACTTAGGATCGAAAGAAGAGTGACCAATGCATAGTGTGAGATAGGATAAGTTTAAAAATTGCATTTTTCATTTGCAATGTCTCATTGTTTAGGGGATATTGATTGTATTTAGAAATGATCCAATATGGTTCTATGCTGCAATTAGCATCATTCCAGCTACATCATGTATCGTGTTTGATCAGATGGATGAAAAAACAAATAGGGCAGATTTAAGGATGAATGGACAGCACCCATTCCCATATCCCCTTTCAGCTTCATGATGGGATACTTAACATCAGAAAAAACAAGACAAAATTGTAACATACTGAACTTTATCAAGCTAGAACAAAGGTGTATTCACGTGAATAAGATCGTCGATGACATGCACAGTTCATGATGCAAAAGTATTTCATGAAGTGATGTATTTCTCATGTAAGTCAGCAATCAACATTCAGCAACTCTTCAACTACACTGATGAAAACACAACACAATATATAAAGACGCTAAAAAAAGTAGTAAGTTAGGACGGTACGATGACACCAACTAAATTGTTTTCATATCAACATATAAGCCATATATGAATCAATTTTGTGTTCCAGTGTGCAATAATTAAGACACATAATATTCTAACAATTCTGTTGGTTCAACAAATGGCAAGAGAACCTGACCAACATGTTTAGAGGTTCGTGTCAGTTGGTCCTAATGCCATGCTGGAGAAGACTTAACAACCACAAAATATTCAGCACTTGGTTAATACATATCTTTGTGGTCACATGCCACTTAAAAATATATGAGGTTGCCAACTCTTTATCATGTAACAAGGTAAGTTATTTGAGGATTCATAAATTTTAAATGACAAATGAAAATACAATAAATGTACCAAATTGTAACATCTAAATTGGACATAATATTGTCAGAAAAAAGATAAGTGCTTAAGGCTAAAAAAAAAACAGTTTTGGTTCTCAGTCACCACCCACATCATCATAAAGTCTGCCGCATGTTTCGTTTTTATTTTCATTAAAAAGTTTTTTAAAAATAAATAAATAGAAATCCTAATACTTAAAAACAATGTGATCCAATACAGCACACAGGTTCAGCCCTTTACATGTGCACTGCTTTACTGCGCATCTTGTGTTATGGTCATGGCGGCAGTAGGAGTTTGTATGCTTGCTTAAGTAGGGAGGCCCTTTCCCATGTTGATGGTACACAAGTGTGTATTTGGTTACATACTAGTTTGAACAAGCTAACAAAAAACAACAACCAGTCCCCGCCTGCACTATATTTTCAAAAGTCATTTCCTGAGAACCAATTCTTTTATTTTTTTAAGCCTAATGTTACCTTTTTGCGGCAGTTAGTGACTCAGTAGATAGTACTGTATGATTGCTCATATGACTATTGTACCACCCAATAGCCACTACAAGTAGATCATAAAATTGGCATCAGTCCGGACTAGTAAAAGCAACCACACACATGCATGTAGGTCGCTATATAAAAATTGCTAAACGCGACATACATCCCCATTTCACCTACAAGTAGCATAGCACTGGTGGACTCTGGTCTTATAAGACAGCTATTAATCATACCACTGCATATGGGATATTTCCACTAATCTGCAAGTCCATGCAAGATGAACTAATGTTAAATTATATAAAGTTATTGGGGTTGTACATATTTATCATCATGATAATGTGGTGCTTGTTGACTTCTTTAGTTCCTGAGTACTCTCCAAGAACGAAACACTGGTTTGAGTGAGTGAGTGAGTGAATACTGTTTAATGCATTATCATGTGTATGAATGGGTGCGTGTGGCCTTACACAACTTACACTAAAAAGATCTGAATAACAATATCTTAAAATTTGATCCATCCAATGTTTTAAAGAACTTTGTTAATGAATGGTTAACATTGAAAACATGTTAAAATATGCAAATCAGAACTAAAACATCAATCAAAACAAATGAACATTGCAGAGTTTCTCATCGATGACAAACATTTCAAACAAACCACACAGTCACTGAAACCAAACCTGCTTACAAATTCAGAAACAAATGTATGGTTGATTGTATGGCACAACTGTAATTTTAAATAAAATACAACAATTACAAAAGCATCACAGTTACATACACCATTATCCAACCATCTAGGAATTGACAAGTTGAAATGCAAAGACCCAACACCCCTCCAGTATCAATAGTAACATTCTATCATCATTATCTAAAGTGTTGTTGGGAAACTCATTTACACCAAGAACAAAGTATTTCCAATGCCACAAAAACTACTTGATGGGACCCGTGTTATTCCAGTGTAGCTAAAATAGATTTTATGTTGATGACCTTGATTTCTTTGCTGTCATATCTGAGCATGAGGGTAAGAAATTACATATGACAATCCATATCTTCTTGTGTATATTGCTGATTTTCTTACAGAAAGCAACAATGTAGCAGGGGAAATTACAAAATTACACAGTCTAATTACTAAAATATGAAAAGTTTTAGTTTCATTGACATCTGAACTAGGTTTGTTCACTACTGCTAAATCAACAAATTTAACTTGTGTAGAGTTTTAATAAGCGCCTCCCTTTGTCTGTTTTCTAGAACATATTAAAGTCATATTACAGTCATTATGGTTGTTCCCAGTACTTAAGTTTGATGTGAGTTGGAGAGCATATTATAGGAAATGAGTGTACATAATCACAAATGAGACAATGCTTTGACAACTTTAAGTTTTACAAATTTGAGTGCAATCATGAAGTTGAGCAAAATAATTTGGCTTCACTGAAATAAGACAGAAAGTTACTAGCAAACATGACAGTTATTTGGTGCGTGTGAATGCCACCAGCTGCAGTGAGGACCAATCTCATTAAAATCTGATCTTAGTTCTCGCTATCGCTAAACAAAGATCTGAGGCCATCCCATTAAGGGTCACGTCACAACGACCAGTCATCCAACCAATCAGACCTTCGCTTACCAGATCATGAAAGTGACAGTCGGAATGAGTTTTCTAATCATGCAACCACGAAATAATTAACACGGGGTAATTAACGACAGTTATGGGTTTTATGATTATATCCATACAATCTAGGCCATCTATAAGCCATTCCAGAATGTTCTTCTCATCAGTTTTAATTTTCTTAATCGAGAATACGTCAAAATATGTTTCGAAGCGTACTTGCCAGTTTGAAACTAGTGTCGTAAAGCTCGAGAAAGCTGCCTTCTGATTGGCTAATGTCGATTTCTTGTCAGTAATTTCATTGGTCGGTCAAAATTCGCGAAAGGTCGTTCTGACATGACCCATAATGGGATGTCCTCAGATCTTTGTTTAGCGGTAGCGAAAACTAAGATCTGATTTTAATGAGATTGCAGTGAGGACCATTCTGCTACCGGGAATGGTTAGGAACTCCTCCAGCTTCATACAGATCCCTTGTAAAACCAACTGCAGAAAGCCCCAGAAGAGTTCAGCAATGCAAGTACTTACATACATAATACAAAAACTTGATTTTGAAAAAAGAACCAATTATTATCACATTTAGTAAATAGATTATGGTCATAACAGGACTTCTTTGTAAATTTGACTTGTGGACATATTAAAACATTTGCATGTTTAAATTACTGATCTGCCCACAATAGATTTCATAGACTGTCATTCTTTTATTTAATATATTTGTTTAAGTTAGATCAAGCATTGCTTAAAGTTGATTGTGTTATTCTGGAACAAGCCATATCCCAGGTTACAGCTATGATCTAATACTCAATTAAATAGAGTAAAATCTGAACAAGAATCACAGTGTTGTCCCCATGGTAACATGGCCAAGTCTTCCGGAAAATACAGATATGCGACTTGCTCACATTACAACATTTGTATTGTCAAGTACTGGCAAATGTAACACTGTCACAACACACTTCCACAGGGTTAGAAACTAACAGTTTTTGTCAACTAGTCCTTATAATGATAACATATAGCAAAACCCTTAAAATTGGCCAATTTCTACTAGTCCTCAGGATACCTTTACCATTGGGCAGTTTGGTAAGGACTACAGGACTAGTGCCAATTTCTAACGCTCTTCCATCAGTGAAAGAAACCCAATGATATCCAGTAAGCAAAACACCAATAATGCCAACACTTATGCAATAAACATGAAAACACAAGAGACAAGATAAAACTGATGTCATCTACAACTCCACACATTCACCAACACACCTGGGACAACCATCACTCATTATTGCAAAAACCCACTGATAAAAAAGTGATAATGTTTTTCCAATCAAGTTATCAACAATCACAGTGACTAAAACTAAAACCACACCGTGATCCACTGGGCAACCAAAACAGTTAGTTCTCAGGCATAAGCTTTCGAACAACTTGTGCCGAATAGCAGCCTGACATTTTTGTTTCAAAAGTGTACACAGTTTACATAATTTTCTCATATCCAAAATGAAAATATACATGCTGCAATGCAGGGTACCTTACTGATGAAGAAAATATTGTCTTTGCATAATAAGAGTTTATCATGGTCATTGATCATTGTTGATAATTGTTGTGTTGTCAAATGTACTCAAAATCTTAGGCTATTTTCATGAATGATGTAATTTTACATGCAATAAACATCCTCAATGAAAATGGATTGTCATGGTTCAGCATTTATTTAGTCAGTTACAAACTGGTTATTACTATCAATGAGGTGACATTTGGCAGTGTGCATCTGAGAGATTCACAGCAGTGGAAGCCACATTGAAGCACCATCAGTCTTCAGTCTATGTGTGTTTGGTTTTGTTTGTTTGTTGTTTAATGCCACACTCAGCAGCATTCCAGCTATATGACGGCGGTCTGTCAATAATCCAATCTGGACCAGACAATCCAGTGATTGACATCATGAGCATCGATCCATGCAATTGGGAGGAAAAAGTCTGACCACCTGATCCCATTAGTCGCCTCTCACAACAAGAATAGTCGCCTCTTACGGCAAGCATGGGTTGATGATTCTAAGCCAGATCTTAATGGGTCCCAGTCTGTATATGAATTAGCGAGTATAGTCATTGCACTTTTAACAATATGCCAGCAATATCATATAGGTGATCCCAGAAATGGGCTTCACACATTGTACCCATGTGGGGAATTGAACCCAAGCCTTTGTTGTGACAAGAGAATGGTGTAACCACCAGGCCACCCTACCGCTCCGTCTATTTTTGAAAACAAATATGAAATTCCCCTTTTTGACAGATGGTTGGTCGGCACATTTCAATTTAGCTAAGGTTGCTATGATATTTCATTTCATCTATATGAAGTCCAATCAAACAAATGCATCAAAATACTTTTTTCATTCCAATTTTGCCATTCATTTAAAGAGATTCTTTGTTTCATGGCAACAGTCAAAACAAAAATGGAGGACCAGACAAACGTTGAAACCCTCAAATCCAAACACTCAGTTGTCAATGATATTCATACAGACACATGTATAAATACTGTTTGAACATGTTTGAAACCTGAAAAATGTTGTCAGAAAAGATTCTGTGTCAATGAGACAGAAAACGATGAAACTGAATCTCCATGTCACTTCAGTATGTATATCACAATTGTTGGGTGTAATCATGGCAATAGCTTCAGGTCCTTCATCCACTCAATCCTCTGTCACATCCCCGACTCTTCCACGAGATCATGTCTGACTAGTTCAATACTCCCAGAGGTCAAGGTTACGTTTCACTGCTGTTTCCTGAACCATGACGTTTCTCCATTTCCTCTGACAGACGTTGAGCAAGTGCGTCTATGTATGGGGCTGACAAGTGCCTCTCTTGTCCTAATTTGCGAGCTACATCGTCAGGGCTATCAGTCTGAAAATGAAGGGAGAAATGTGATTTTCTTCAGAATGGTGTCACTGCATCTTGAAGAGGGAATATGAACAGCGAAAATTGCAATCCAAGAAGGTTTGACTTTGCATGAACTTTTCTTCTCACTGTAGTTAACTTACTATTCGTACACTACCGAACTCATATTATATTCATGTTGCCAGAAGGACCAATTAACACCAAAGAAAAACCACAGGGCCCACCATACCTGGTAAGATTACCATGGGAACTGCAAGATATCAGTGTTGTAGACATCTTCCTGACGCAAGGAAGTTTACTGACTGTAAAGGTCTAGTTTCCACCCTTGCTGAACTAGGCTGGAATTTCTGTAGCACCACCAGTGGCTAATACGAGTTATGTCCCTCCTATTGACCAATCAGATTCCACCTCTCATATCACTTGCATTAGCTTCAAACAAAATGGCGGCGCCCAGCCAAGACGATCTGATCGATAATTGAAATCTATATTGTTATAAAACTGGTCTTACTTCGCAAAGTGCATCAAATCACGTGAGCACCTTGATTACAAACATATCTGTGCTACACATGCTTTGCAAATCCTGCAATCAACCTAACTCTCCACAGCACTTTACTAACCAGATGTCCATTTTGTTATGCGATTTTGATTAGACTATGAATAGACTTGTTAGTCCAGCCAAAATATTATTCCAGCCTTGTTCGGCAAGGGTGGAAACTCGTCTTTTATAGTCAATTAACTCCCTTGCCTCAGAAAGATGCGTTGAAGAATTCACTGATATTTTCACACATAATTGCAAATATTCCATAAATATCTGTCCTTTTGTATTGCAGACTATGGTTAACATTGTTGGAATCAAGGGGTCCTGTGGTGCCTGGGTTTGCTCTCATAGTACTTGAATTTAAGGACACATGAAATTTTCAAATTTAACATCAGGGCAATGACAAGGACCCAATGATTTTCATGCCTAATTTCAAACACTGCTTAAGGTAAACATGATAAATAAACAGACTTTTTATATTTTCAAGGGATGTACACCATCAGAACAATGAGCCAAAATTCAACTAAATCATAGTGCTAGTAATGGTCTATGTGGGATATCTTGTTTGTTTGTTCATTTATGCCACACTCAGCAATATTCCATGCTTATGACGACGGACTGTAAAGAATCAAACGTGGACCAGATAAACCAGTGATTGGAAGGATAACTAGATCTGGAGGAAACTGACCAGTCCTTCAGGATTCTTTATGATATTTGACAAGCATTACTTGTGGACGAGTGCACTTTTTGATGAGAGACACTTTGTATTATGTCTTTAAGGAGCCAATCCTTAAAGATGGACTCATCTCATTCTGTAAGAATGACACAAAGTTATCCCCTTGGTAGAGAATGTGATACCAGTGTTCGAAACAACAACCTGCCTGTAGTTTCAATGTATATGGGTCATTATGGCCGGCAGTAATTTTACGTGTCATTTTTTTGTCACGATAAGCTCCAGTTTGTTAAATGAGGGCCATAAGAGATGAGTCAGGGCCTTCAGTTTCTAAAGTCTGTGGGTCCTGATTGTAGCCTTGCATTTTTTTTACTTTCAAACATACTTTTTGGTCATAAACATACGTAATAAAAAATTTAATAACAATCTGGTCTTACACCTTTGAACACTTTTAATTATTTTTTATAAATAATATGTACAATCATACCGAATATATTTTTCTTTTGTGTATATGTCCATCCCTGTCTTCATATTCCAGCATGAATAATTCTTCCCTATCTTCTCGATCATCTGCGGAAAAAACATTAGTCAACTGTGTCCACAGGTATTCATGGTATACCAATAAAACATGCATAAGCAGTTACAAAAACAACTAGTTTTAAGCATGCTAAGGTGACATGTAACTTATCTAGTTTCAAAATGAAGCTCTACATAATCAACTTTAACTCAGAATCAGAAAAGACTTGTTTTTGTGCTCAAACACATCTTCAAACACATAGAAAGAGATTCGAGATGAGACGACATTTTTATGTTTAACTATCTCATACCTAGAACAACTTCATTTGATTTTGGAGACCATTTTGCCAAATACAGGGTTAGAAACTAACAGTTTTTGCCCACTACTCCTTATAATGATAACATATAGCAAAACCTTTAAAATGGGACAATTTCTACTAGTCTTTAGGATACCTTTACTATTGGGCAGTTTGGTAAGGACTTTAGGACTAGTGCCAATTTCTAATGCTGCAAATATGTTTTTAAATTGATTATGCGTTTTCCTCGTGTTTCAGTAAAGATAAAAGATAAATATTACCCATATAAAAAGTGTCCTGTTTTTCCTGTCTTCCTCTTCTCCTTCTTGAAAAAGGTGGGACATATGCGCGGGCATCTGGTTTTGTCTTTTTGTTCCTGTCAGTGTGTTTACCTCTGTCTTGGACTGAAACCTTTTCTCGTACTTCTTTGTCATAGTTGTCTCTATGAAAACAAAATGAAACCAATAGCTACAATGCAATGTAGATCACCTGAAGTCAGCGAGACAAGGTTCTTGTCATGACATGCTACAAGACCAACAGATCTCCACTGGTCAGGGGAGTTTGTTCAAAAAGTCTTTGCCTGGAGATGATGACGAGTTGCTTGTAGAAGCGAATGTACACTATCATCAGGATTACAGCTGTGAAATCATAGCTACATACTGCTCTGCTTTTATAATCTGACATCAACTAGTTGCTAATACATGTACAGTACCATGACTAGCGGGGCTCAATTTAACCACATAAAAGATGCACTCTGGTATTGAACAATACAACCTAGTATGTATTTCTACATGCACCAAGTGCATGTAAAAATCGTACACATTTGAAACTGACCCACCATGCAAATTTTTGAACTATGCATTTTATTTACCATCGAACATTACCATTCTCACTGTTGTGTGTAATTTATCATTGTTCCTTTACCCAGACGCCATCAAACTGTGAACACTTGACGATTATGTGCACAAAAAATTGTGTCAGAAAGTAATTAAATGAATACTGTTCAATAATAATAAGACCTGTTAGACTATTCGCCTATTGACGATGCTGTGCACATGTCACTGGGTGTAATTTTGTTTATAAGCCAATTTGTTGTCAGTTCAACAATTCGTATCACCTGATTCATACTTTTTTTTACATAACCATGTGCTGTCCATGTTTTGACGGTGTGTCATGCATTGCCTGTTTGACAATGAAAATAAAAAACTGCCAGTAAATGGTCTTAAATTACTACCAGTGATATCTTCGTCTTCTTTTCAAAATGTACCTGTGACATTTAACAGCAGGATGTTACTAATTAAATTATTATTCTGAAAGCAGACAAGCTGGGTACCACATGATACTTGTGTTGAACCTGGTACCTGGTGCATCAGACCTGTAAAGATCCGGGGTAGAATAGGTCTTCAGCAAACCACACTTGCCGCAAAAGGCAACTATGCTTGTTGTAAGAGGCGACTTGGTTGATGCATGTCATCGTATCCTAATTGCGTGGATCGATGCTCATAATGTCAATCACTGGATTGTCTGGTCCAGACTCGATTATTTACAGACTGCCGTCATATAGCTGGAATATTGCTGAGTGCGGCGTTAAACAACAAACAAACAAACAAACAAACAAAATCTGGTTCATCATTTTTAGCTTTAAGAATGAAAAGTAATCATAACAAGCAAAGGGAAGAAACCCTGAAGCTGCAGTTGTTTTGTGGATGGCTGAGATCCATAGACGGAACATTACAAGGAAGCATGTCTTGCAGACAAGGAGCTGAAAAATCTGCTTGGAGCAGTGATGATGATGATGACAATGATACTGAATTATATATAAGTAGCTTCACTTATCACTGAACACAAATTCACTGGGATTCCAGTTAAGAATAGGTCCCCAGCAATGGTTGTCATAAGAGGCGACTAAATGTATCGAGTGGTCAGGCTAGGTGATTTGGTTGATGACATGTCATTGTATACAAATTGCATGAGTCAATGCTCATGATATCAATCACTGGATTTTCTGGTCTAGACTCAATTGTCTAATGACCTCAGTAATATAGCTGGAAAATTGCAAAGTGAGGCATTAAACAACAAACAACAACCACTAGGGCTGGGACAATACACCAACTTGTGATCTTATATGTATCATGATACCTTGCTTACGACTCAATACGTATCACAATGCTTGCATGTGCTCTTGTCTGTTGTGAGTAAGCTATCTTATTCATAGACAGGAAGGTCAGATACCTGGCACACTGTCACAGGTGCCTTTGTTTGCTACATGTACCAGTAACTGAATTAAACATAATACATCAACAAATATTCAATAACCAGTCTTGAATATCTGATGACAGAGATTTTGCATAAAAAGCAAATTATCAGTTAAAATTATGGATCACTGAAAATCAGTGATGACACCAGGTGTTAGTGAAAAGTCAAACGCCTCACTTGATTGATAACGATGTTAGGACCTACACCGAAATGTTGTTCCTAATTGCAATAAAGAAGTTGTTCATCCATATATCTTATTCTTGCTTATGCTTATGGATAAATGGTTTGGGGAAAAGGAGGTAGAACAATATTTCTGATTTGCACTCTGATGGATTGTGAGTGAGTGAGAATGGTTTTACGCCGCTTTTAGCAATATTCCAGCAATATCATGGTGGGGGACACCAGGAATGGGCTTCACACATTGTACCCATGTCGGGAATCGAACCCGGGTCTTTAGTGTGACAAGCGAAAGCTTTAACCACTAGGCTACTGGACCGCCCCTGATAGATTGTAAAGGCCGCAATGATGTGAGGCAAAAATACAAATACTGTGAAAAGGTTTCAATGTCACGTTCAAAATTATTTCATTAACTTGTGTGTACCTGCAGGTACTATTCCAGACTTGTGATGGTTTTATAGTGCCAGCTCACTGATCGAGTTACCATATGCAGTAGTTCAACATGATACCTGACTCAGACACACAACACAGACTCTGAGCCAACCAGCCACCTAGTCTTTCTTTTATCCACTTAATGCTGAGCGCCAGGTGGGGCAACAAGTACCATCTTTTAACGTCTGTTGGTAAGGTCTTGTAAGGGGGGTGAACAACACAGGCAGACACTCTATCCACAACACTGCAGGGGCGCTATGTATTAGCATCCAGCGGATGTTTGATGAAAAAAGTGGTGCAGGCTGAAAGGCACCGATTTCTCTGGCGAAAATAGCAACGCATTATGCGAAAACGGCACCTCTATTTTTAATAACAATAAGAACGATTTATGTAGTATATGATTTAGGATTTTGAAGACTTCAGAAGATGTGCAAGGAATCCATATGTATCGTCAGTCAATGACCCTTTACAAATACATATATAATGGAAAATGTTACAACTTTAAATATATTGAATATGATGAAAATGGGATGAAGTCTGATAACTTAAATCAGCATTTCACGACAGTTTAAACATGTAGACAAAGAAGGGCGAGTTTGAAACATTCCTAAAACACATCTTAACTTCAACAAATGATCATCGTCTCTACAGAAATCTCAATCATTCCTACCGATCAAGTTGGTTCCTTATAATACTTTTCATAAAGCCATGCCTCATGTCCAGTTTTCTGTTTGTAGATGACATCTTTCAACATGTTTTGGTTGAAAAATGCTGACAACTATGAAATTCTTGTTTTCGTTTCTGTCATTTTGGAGATTCCCGTGATCTACGTCACCAGTTGTGAATAAAATGCCTTTCGACTCCGGATAATATATCCGTATCAGACCGATATTAATAACGAGTTCAATATATATGTCAAAATGCTTTCAAATGTTGTCTAAATGGAGGCAGAGTAAAGTCTATGATGAAATAATAGAGTGTAAGGTATTACAACATGTGAAAACAATTGAATACTTTGAAAGAACCAATTATCCGTAATTTACTAGGCCTATTTCGACAGGAAATGACGTTTACCACACCGGGTGAAAATGGCGGAGGTTTCGACAAGAAAACGACTTGTGAAATCTCACACTACGAAGAAACGAGTCGTTGAAGTAGAGGATGATGATGACATTGGTATGTCTGTTTTGGCAAAAAGATAGAATATTTATCACTTTACATGCTCTGAAACTGATTTAATTGCAAAATTTTAAATAGGAATTCAGGACAGTACGCAGATTTACATGCGGCAGCTTAACGTGCCGTTTTTTCGGGCTGCTCGGATCTGTGCTCACAGCGATTTTAATTTGGGATTTAAATATTTCCCATAACCTCCAATAATCTCCCCCGACCAATTTGGATGAAATCATTAGCTGAACGTCTCCCTGTTGATCACTTGGTGACAGCATGTTATATTGCTTGTGATAAATGTGAATCGTGGCAGCGATAGAAACTAACATTTTAGTCCACAAGTCCATATAATGGTAACATATAGCAAACCCCTTAAAAATGGCAAGTTTCTACTGGTCCTTATGATACCTAATCTATTGGGCAGTTTTTCAAGGACTATAAGGCCAAGTGCCAATTTCTATCGCTGCGTGATGACCACAGTAACCTTTTTAGTTTGATCATGTTGATGGACATCATTTTCTAAATGTGACAGGGTTTGAACTTAACAATAGCCAGCTTGACCAGAGCAAGTACAAATTCCTGTGGGCTAGTACAAATTTCCGGATTTCCCCATTGTCTTAAAGGGGCACCAATCTAAAGCAATTCCCCGGGACTGGTTGTTGCCTTTGTTATTGTTTTTTCCAGTGAGTACCCGGATGATATAGCATAAACCTAGACTAGTTCGCAGCCTGTGCTGCGCAATTCGTAAGCACATTTGTCACTTTTATTGATAGTATAAGGGTGTATGGTCACATTGATCAACAAAATGAAATACAGTTTTGGAAATAATAAGGAAATGTAGGTATCCTTGTGGGTAGCATCGGTAATGGTGACAAAGTTTTGATAAGTCAATTGCTTGGTAATTGTGCGATATTTGTTTTCACTATTTTGACTTGCAACACAAAGTAAATATTTCTCCTGGGCATTGCTTATTTTATCGTGTTTATATTTTTACAGTAAAAATGTGCAAAATTTTCACTTATGAAATTTATTAAATGCCTGAATATTCAGTTATTTTACAAATTGAGCGAAAAATATGTCCATCTGTATTATTATGACAACGAATTCCAAACATTTTTATGTTTAATATCATCACAAAGGGACTGAAAATGTTACGATGAAAAGTACATTTCTATATTGTTTGGCTTCTAATCCTACATAATAATCTATTGTGATGTTTTTAGGCCCTGTTGATCGTCTTAATCAATTTTGGTCAATCTGTTAAATGGACAGATTTTTCAGTCAAAATAACTCAAATATTTACACATTTTATAAATTGCTTGAGAGAATCACAATTTACAAATTGACTGTTATATACAAAGGAAAAGACTTGTGAAAACAACATCTACCGCGCATCGAAGAATTTCCCAACCAAGACGTAGAGGAACAAGAATGAATCTGTCCAATGCTACTGCAAATGAAGGAAAACAAAATGCGAATATCATAATAACAACCTACCAAATTTATGTGTATAATTTTAGGTAGCTTCCTTGTTCGAGGAATGTATTCGTGAATATCCACAGAAAGGAACAATATCCCAAACCTTTGCAACTGTACAAAGAAACATATTCGATGTTACGTGTCTCTGTAACAATCAAATATTTCAAAATATATATATCGTTTCAGGATATTATAACCTGTGTTCGTTTCCCAACTGATCACTTAGATTGTTTCAGGTGTTTCACACAGGTGTCAAGTCTCAATGGTCAGCTGAGAAAGCCCACGTGACAACTATTTTCATAACGTCCACGGTTCCTAAAAAAATCCATTGAGTTAGATAACAATGAGCAATTAATCAACGGATTACTGGTTAACCCTTTGAACAATGCATGTTGTTTTTACATCGGCGCTTCACGCAAGGATATGAGTGTATTCCCTTTGTTTTAGTAAACCTAGACATGTAAACACTCACTTTTGACTTATCCACCGTGCAAGATAACAGTGATTAATCAATCAATGTATTTTCTGTTAATCCTTTGATGACTACGAACAATCCGCTGATTTACAAAAAAATTAAATCAACTGATCATTCATCTCTTGATGGGCTGCCACTTGCATATTACATAACACACATTTCACCTCACTTCAAACCTGGATTTAGATTGAATAACTACCCCAGACACAATAAATGCCAAATGGGAACCTTCGTCAGGTATTCGGAGTGGTGCTACCACTAATTATACCTGTGATAAATTCGTTAACTGAGCATCAAGTGAATGACGACAAATACACAAGTGTAGGGTTATACCAGAAAATGTGAATGACAACAAGGGAGGAGTAATCGAAGCAATCCGAAATCCGAAAATGCTTTCACTGCATTGATACTTCTTTTAAACTATAACAATCAGGGGTATTTCCAAATGACGACAACCGGTGACCGGCCGTTCTTTTTATCTGTTTGTTTAGGCTGAAGATATTAATTAAAAGGCGCCCTTTGTCGAAATCTTTATAGATCACAGTTAACCAATCAGTGTTCAAAAATGGGTAAAACAAATATTGCCTCCAAGTTTATTTTGCTGTCCTTGCAGACGGTAGCCCAGTCTCTTATCACGCTCAGTTGTGTTGCGTATTCTCCAGGTACTCACTGGGAAAAAACAATAACAAAGGCAACAACCAGTCCCTGGGAATTGCTTTAGATCAGTGCCCCTTTAACTTTACAAGAGAATTATATCTTTACATGGGCTAGTAAAGCTATCTAACCCTACCCTGTCATGACATTATATAAGTATCATATTTTCCTGTGTATAGTGCACACTTTGGGAGTAGTGCATTTTATTGGTCACATTTTTTCGTATTTCAATTAGTGCCACGTGGAGGATCGAACTCCTCCATGTTACCAACACATTACCAAGTGACCATGGATGGATGCTATCTCAAACAATTAGTGCTCATTTACCAGCTCATCAACATCCTAATATTTACCTTATGCATATGCGCAGTAGCCGTTTTTTGTCCGCGAAACTTGCAACTTGATAAAAATTGTACAGATTTTCCTCAAATTATTTTGGATTCATTTGTTGAAAGTGATAGCTAACCCATAGCCTGCCTCAAACTGACCATCATCAAACTGTGGGTACTTCAAGGTTATGTACTGTACTGCAGCTTTGTCTATTACTGAAATTGCGTAATGGTATCATGTTACGGTATTTAGATTATCCAGCTGATGATAATCATTAAGCATAATATGACGGTAGTAACTGTAGTAAAAATTCTTACACAGTAATCAGAGAACTGACATTTTATTTATTTAGATAAATTTATGGGATCAGGGTGCAGCCTGGTTTTGTCTGGTGCAACTAGGTTTTCATGTCCACTTGCACCTGATGCAACTTAAATCTAGTTCCTTAAGTGGAGCCCTGACGTAAGTCAAAATGTGTCACTCATCTTTAAATGAATGCTCCAAATACCATTATGTCAATATTTCCCACACTGACCTAATTCTATTTAACATGTTTAATAACCAAATCTAGAGTAATCAACATGATCACATGGTCATATTCAAAATAGAAAATCTTGTCTTTGTTCTCTGCAAATAAAACAAAAAGTGTTACTAATATCTAAAAGTAAAAGGAGACGGAAATAACTGAGCCCTGCATGTTAATATAATTATAACTAATGATAGGCCGTGCAGAGGTAACCTGATCATAGTGATGACAGACTCATTGAAGAGGAGTGAGTGAGTTGGGTTTAACGCCGCCTTAAACAGTATTCCAGTTATATCGCGGCGTGTCAGCTTAATGTGGGAGGAAAGCCCGAAGTGATGCATGTCTCAGACGTTTACCACTTCGGTGAAACCCACGAGCACGGGTATGGTGCTGACAAACCTAGAAACATAATCGGGGTGAACCGGGATTCGAACCCACAATCATAGGTTTCTGGCGTGCCCAAGGGACGCAACTCTGCACAGCAAATCGCGGCGCCTCAGACGACTGGGCCACCCGTGCCCCCTCATTGAAGAGGAAGCAACTTTAAGTTTAATGCATAGTTTTACTTAAATGCACTGAATGCAATATCAAAATACCTCAGAATTTAGGAAAATAAGAACTTTGAACAAAATAATTGCCTGCCATGGGCACTTGGTTTCAAATCCTAAATAAAATCCCTGGTTATGAAGCATGCAGAGTGTGAAAATAGTTCTCAACCCCTGTCATCATAAAAAAATATATAAATAAGACTTTTTCATTCTGTTCATTTATCATGTTTTTTACAAAATATTAATTCATAAAGAATAGGTATTTCAACATGTAATTCCTGGAAAATACACATGTTATTTACCAGTAACCATGTTCACCAATTATACCCTGGTAATTAATAACTGATAGGTTGAAATAAATCGAATACCATGTTTGTGTCGGAGACTAGTCTGTATGACCGACAGACCTGGGGGATAGTTTCCAAGGATGTACCTGGTGTCTAGTTGTCAGGTTTTTTTAAGTGTAATATTTCTATGTATTTTCTGTATTTCAGTCCCAGTGAAGGAGCCTAAAATTGACAAAAGTAGATCTTGTCCCTATTTGGATACTATTAACAGGTATGTTATGACGTGTTAATTTTTAATGTTTTTGTCTGTGCCCTTTTTTGTTTTAGGATAACAAACACACTTTGTATTTATTATCAGTATGCTTGCCTATGTTTTGGATATTAGTTTGCTTGCTATGATATTGATGTTATCGGCTATTCTGTCTTTGAAAGTAAGAATAAGTCAATATGTCATAACCACTTGTTATCTTAACTCTCCTTGAAGGTATGGGGTTAGAATTGGTCTTCAGCAACCTATGCTTGTCTTAACTAATGGTTTCAAGTGGTCAGACTTTATCATATTTCATTTCCATAGATCGATGCTCATGATATAAATCTATCAATCACTGGATTGTCCAGTCCAGACTCGATTATTTTCAGACAGCTATCATATTGTTGGCATATTACTGAGTGCGGCATTAAACAACAAACAAGCAAACAATATTATCATAACCCTGATGTCATAGATTTAAAGGGTCACTTGACTCACATGATACTATAACTGCAAACTTCATGGAGCCCAGGACCCTCTTTTATCATGTTTATTTCTTAGTGAGTGAATGAGGTTTTGCGCTGATTTTAGCAATATTCCAGCGATATCACGGTGGGGGACACCAGAAATGGGCTTCACACATTGTACCCATCGGGAATCGAACCCTGGTTTTCGGCGTGACGAACTAACGCTTTAACAACTAGGCTACCCGCCCGCCCCGTTTATTTCTGAGATTGATATTGGTATGATATTTTGATTATGACATTTAATGTTAAATATGATAACATTCACCTTTCAGATCACTGTTGGACTTTGACTTTGAGAAGTTATGCTCTGTTTCCTTGTCCCACATCAACGTCTATGCCTGCCTGGTCTGCGGCAAGTACTTCCAAGGTAGGCATCAGTAGGCAGAGCACACTTCAAGAACGAGCTGATAACGAGTTTCACCTGGGAAATATCTAGGTTTATGATGATGTGTGTGAACATTACCCAACTATAGACTTAGGTCCAGTTGTTCCTCAGATAGCGACACCCTGTTAGTTTGAGCCTCATTAATCTGGACTCCCTGTCTTCGTGCAGTTGGGAAATGTCTTCTTGTAGTTACAGTGCAAGTCTCATGGGTACATACAACTTTGCATATTTGGGTAGATGGTAACATCCTTTATGCAAATATGGTATTCAAAACATCAGAAGTAGCGCCTAAATAAGGTTTATTTGAACTTTTGTCCTGTCTGTCAAATTTTTGCAGATTTGGATAGATGTTAACATCCTTTATGCAAATATAGTATTCAAAACATCGAAAGTTGCACGTAAATAAGAACTTTTCAAGTTATCATGGAATGTGAATGGTTCTCGGAAGATGAATTGGTGATTTTGGAAGAAGTACAAGTAAACCCCTACCTGGGACGACAATAGTGACGAAAATAATCAGGTTGATCCCCCATCTTGGATGCATAGATTACAAGTGATTGCAAAACACAGAATTTTTTGTTTGTATGGTATAATTTTTCCAAATCACAATATCCTGTTGCTGTCTTAAAATAGCATAACAGAGATGGAGAAACATGTGATAGACTCTGTGAATCTGTGTTACTTGCTAACATTTAACATAACACAATACACATGGCTGAGTGATTTATGATACCTGGACTGACTGCTGACATACATTATGCAGTAATCTACTGCAGTTACATGTTGTGAGATGAGTGACTGTAGTTGAGACAAAAAACATTCTGGTTAATTGGCACTGATTGGCTACAAAGATAAATTGATGTCTATCTTTATAACAGCATGGTTGAGGGGAGTGATTGTAGGTGAGACAAATACCATTCTGGTTATGTAGATTTCCTACCTAGCTGGTGGCAAATTAATCCCCCCCCCCCCCCCCCCCCTTCATTAGCACTATTAAGATTTGTTTAGATATTACAAATACTGACCTCAAAATACATACTTTGGATTAAGAGCAACAGTGCTCAGTTTATGTTTTCAATAATTTCACACTTTTTTCCTCGGCCATCATATTGTACATCATACTGGATACATAATGATGTAAAAACAATCTATAACTATTTTACATGATACTTGCAATTAAAGACGACATTAAATATACTATTATATATAGCAATGGTTAGTTGAACCAAAAATTTGTCAATGAGGACAAATAAACATGCTTCACTGTATATCCCTGCGAAACTGTTTTGTCATAAGTATGAATTAGGGCTGGCAATCGATATGGATAACAGAGATTGATAATCGTTAACTATATATCAATCAGTTATCGATAAATAAGTAACTTTGAGCAGATATGCATAAAGCAGAAAAAGAAATCAACATATTTCATGTCACTAGTGAGTGGGGATACATTTATGCATGGATTACTTTGTGAACATTTAAGATATAACAAAGTTAATTGCTTTCTGTGAAGTCTGCTTTGGTAACTTAAAACTTCATTGCTTCACAATAGTTTAGGTAAGATATTATTGATGACACAATTTTCATATTGATAATCGTTAATATTTCTCCCCATCAACGATATCTCCAAATATCAATCTTTTTTGCCAGCCCAAGTATGAATACTTTCCTGACACTGTTAATGTGTATCTCCCTCCAGGTCGTGGACCCAACACTCATGCCTACATCCACAGTGTCTTCGAGGGCCACCATGTTTTCCTCAACCTACAGACACAGAAGTTCTACTGTCTGCCTGACAACTATGAAATTATCGACTCATCACTTGAAGATATTATTGTGAGTGACAAGGCTTATGTCTTTATCAAGTTTACGTACAAATGCTTCGTGAGTTTTGACCAGTGTTTAATTAGTGATGTATATATATATTGCTATAAACGTCCAGAGCATTTGCAGATATATACTCACCACCAGAAGATTTGTGAACCATAGAAACATATAGAGAAGTATTACGTTAAGAAGAGATGTTTCCAATATGTACGGGGCGGTCGGGTAGCCTAGTGGTTAAAGCATTCACTCGAAGACCCGGGTTCGATTCCCGACATGGGTACAATGTGTGAAGTCCATTTCTGGTGTCCCCCCGCTGTGATATTGCTGGAATATTGCTAAAAGCAGCGCAAAACCACACTCACTCACTCCAATTTGTACTAATTAATGACAAAACTAACAGTCGTTCAAGTGTTACCACAGAGTGACTGTATTCTTGTCACAATATGCTGCATGTGATTTCCGAACTTTACATGCTAATCCTGTACGAAACAAATGGTGCATGTCAAGTCATGGATCTATGATGTCACATGTGATGCGTTCATGAGCATCGGTTCACACAAGATACGGGGTGGTCGGGTAGCCTAGTGGTTAAAGTGTTTGCTCATCACGCCGAAGACCCGGGTTCGATTCCCAACATGGGTACAATGTGTGAAGCCCATTTCCGGGTCCTCCACCGTGATATTGCTGGAATATTGCTAAAAGCGGTGTAAAACCTCACTCACTCACTCACTCACTCACTCACTCACTCACTCACTCACTCACTCACTCACTCACTCACTCACTCACTCACTCACATACAAGTATGTCCTTTTGTGCATAGAACCACTCTAATATCTCTTGAATACGAGTAAGTCTTCATATATTAACTAACATGTATGCTATTCATGTTTCTATTGGCTGTAAGAATATATATGATCTCAGAACAATATCAATAATTTCACAAATAGGCATATAGGATACATGTTCTGATGACTGATCACATGCTGATATACATAGTTTAACTTCAAATTATAACAGTACATGTAACCATTATTACATTTTACTTCATTATGAAAGGCTTGCTGACTTGGTTGATGTATGTCATCGTATCCCAATTATGTGGATCAATGCTCATAATGTCAGTCACTGGATTGTCTGGTCCAGACTTGATTATATACAAAATGCCATCATAAAGCTGAAATATTGCTGAGTGTGGTGTAAAACAACAAACAAACAAACAAACAAAATAAAACTTCATTATGAACTAAACCTAATTAGGAAATCCAGATGCCAGTAATAAACAAAAATGACATTTAGTTTAGATTTCCTACATAAACAGGAGTTTGGGTGAACTCCAGTGTTTAAAGTGTTGGCTCATCACACCAAAGAACCACCACAGTCTTAATTAAAAGAAATGCTACAATGTGTGTCACCCATTTCTGTGTCCCCTGCTGTGATAAGGCTACAAGCAGTGTACATGGTGTTAAACACTGCCCACTCTCTGAGTCCTACACTGGAGCTATGGAGGCAAGGAGCTTCATTAGTGCACAGGGTTCAAGAGTTCCTCACTTGATTCTGTTGCTCTTCACTTTCAGTATGTCCTCAACCCAACGTTCACGGACCTCGCTATCAAGAGACTTGACAGAAATCCCAAGATGTCCAGGGCATACGATGGCACTACATACCTACCAGGTAGGGCTTGTAACTAACTCGGTCAAATAAGACTTGCCATGATATTCAGCTGATCTTGCAAAAATTGGGGCGGCCGAGTAGCCTTGTGGTTAAAGAGTTCGCTCATCACGCTGAAGACCCGGGTTTGATTCCTGACATGGGTACAATGTGTGAAGCCCATTTCTGGTGTACCCCACCGTGATTTAGCTGGAATTTTGCCAAAAGCAGCATAAAACCATACTCACAGTCACTCATTCTTTAAATTACGAAATATTACGAGGAATTAAGGATTACTGACGTTAAATCTGCTGTTTTATGATTAAAAAGAACCCATATTCCCAAGAATGAATTTATCATGTTTTGTGCACTTTAAAAGACTTTTGTCTTTCATTGATGTATTGGTATATTGGATATGTTTCAGGTTATACTGAAAGGTTCCAATTATAAGGATTAATGATATATCCTACTTGTGATTTCTTGCTTTTACCCAGTTGTTGTTTCACTGTGGATTATGAGTGTGTTCTCTTTGCCAGGTATTGTTGGTCTGAACAACATCAAGGCCAATGATTACTGCAATGTGGTGCTGCAGGTATGTTGTCGTTTCATGGGAGTTTGGTACATATGTTATCTTTGTTCCAAGTATATGTAATTACAGTTTGATCCTCCGTTAACAATGTTTATAGTTATGTAAGACAGTCATGAATGCTGAGACAAGGGCGGATGGGAAAATGTAAGATAGCTACGCAATAAATACGCAAAGAACAATGAAGAACGAAGCGTGGTTTATTTCATGATAAAACATTGTTCTCTCATGTCATTTCTATAGATTCCAATATGCGCTCGCAACTTGATGACGTCATATTTGGACAACATTATTTTTTAGAGGGAAGTGTCTAGTCAGTGGTCCCATAGATGTAGATGGGCTGCGCAGATAAATGCAGTGGCTGAATGTTGTGGGAGAGATATGACAATCGGTATTATGAGAAAGATTATCAACGTTAGGATTGTGAGAATATGCTGGAAATACCAAACTTAACCCACCTGTTTGTAAAATGGACTTTTGCAACATTTCCAAGGTCGGATTCTATTCAGAAAGTCATCATTATTTAAAATAAGGTAAATATTTTCAAAGCTTGTACATTTTACCAACATCCTTAAAGAGGCTCTACATAATGTTGATATTTCATAAAAGAAATCAACGACTCATGGTCATTGTTTATGAAACACTATGGCTCTATTTTGGTCTTAAAAAATGAAGGGCAGTTTGAAAGCAGAATAGAAATCATAGCTATGGCATGATTGCAGTACATATGCAATACAAACTTAACATGCTTCAGTATTGTATTATAGCAATGAAATTGCAGCACATAATTCCAGGCACTAAATACACAGCCCTACCAAAATATATCCTATAACTAATGCGGATGTTTTTCTCCCTCCAGGCCTTGTCTCATGTGGTTCCACTGAGAAACTATTTTCTCCAGGAGTCTAGCTACAAGAAAATCAAGCGCCCCCCTGGCGATCAGGCATTTCTGCTTGTTCAGAGATTTGGGGAGTTGCTACGGAAACTATGGAACCCCCGAAACTTCAAGGCCCATGTCAGTCCCCACGAGATGCTGCAGGCAGTAGTGTTGTGCAGTAAGAAGCGCTTCCAGATCACGGAACAAGGTTTGTGTGTAGCCCGTGACAAACCTGTACACCATGTACACTCGCCCAAATCTTTGGTGGATTTTTTCAGTTGACCTAAGTCAGTGTTAGAATTTAATTATAAAGTCAAAGGGTGCTTGATTTAAGCTTAAAAAGATTTAAGGCATCCCTAGATTGAAGTAGTGAAGGAACAAGACTTAAGGACTTGACTGAGAGATATTTTACTTGACTCAGACTTGGGACGAGTGACCAAAGCCCCAGACACTAGTGGTATGGTGATATGGCATGACAGTATTGTAGTGTATTGGGATGCTGGACTGCCGATATTGGTTGGTTGGGTTGTTGTCTTACGCTGCACTTAGCAATATTCCAGCTATATGACAGCGGTCTGTAAACAATCGAGTCTGGACCAGACAAATGCAGTGATTGATAATAGCATCGATCCACACAATTGGGATTGATGACATGCTTCAACCGAGTCAGCGAGCCTTACCACCCGATCCCGTTAGTCGCCTCTTATTGTTCAACCTTATGAATAATGCACAGATGTGCAACACCTCATATATTGGAACTTAGACATGTGTCGCTGTTGTGAGGTTATGCGACATGTGACTCTTGGGGCAGCACACGACCATATGCCAATTACAAGTTACCTGAAACAGCATAGAAGTAGAATTATTTAACTGATCAATTTATGGAAGTCCATAGACTGGACCTGAGAGGGTAAAAAATATTGAATAGCCAAATAAAAATATCAGTAGTTTAATACCCAATGTAAAGATAACATGTTAGTAAATATCCAGTGGCAAAGAACATAAGCTGGAGCCTTGTCTTCGCAAGCTCCCACATTCATACAGTTTGACCCTCACTCTATGAAGGTTCATACTCCAATGAACTGACACAAGACCCGTGAAGATTCCGGGATAGAATAGGTCTTCAGCAACCCATACTTGCCGTAAAAGGCCACTATGCTTGCCGTAAAAGGCGACTAACGGGATCGGGTGGTCAGGCTCGCTGACTTGGTTGATGCATGTCATCGATCCCAATTGCGTGGATCGATGCTCATGATATTAATCACTGGATTGTCTGGTCCAGACTCTATTATTTACAGACCGTCGTCATATAGCTGGAATATTGCTGAGTGTGGCGTTAAACAACCAACCAACCAACCAACCAACCAACCAACCAACCAACCAACCAACTGACACAAAATGAAAGTCAGTTCTTAAAGAGAGAACTGATCAGTTCAGAAGCCTGATCATAAGCCTGTTTTGTATGATATAAAATGTGTTCTGTCTGATGTAGGTGACCCAGTTGACTTCCTGTCATGGCTGCTGAATGCTCTGCACACTGCAATGAACGGAACTCGGAAGCTGAACAGCAGCATCATCAACAAGACATTCCGGGGCAAGATGCGAGTTTACGCCAGGAAGATGCCACCTATTGATATGGTGAGACCATTCAAACACAGGTCTTCCTGTCAGTGTTGACATATCTATATTGAGGCATGTAACATGCACGGCTTTCAGATCTCCTCTGTATAGCGTGTTAGGAAAACAGATATCAAACAGGTCCACTGGTAGCAACTGTCATCTCTGCCAGGGGCGATGGTGTAGCTAGTTTTAGAACGAAGCCAGAACTTGGTTCACTGACCCAATTTATTTGAGGATAAATTACATCCATTTCTGTGACGATTTCCGTGCGTTTTTTGTTTGTTATGACAAGTACACACCTTGTGGTTGACACAGTAATTAGGACTTAGTTGCATCAAAAAATATTTAAATGTGTTTGAAGAAATCAGCCTGTTGTGCCTACCATTGGTCAGTCATGATTCCAACATTATCATCCTTCTCCATCTCATCATCATCATAATATATTGCTACACATAGGTAGGCACCTATGAAATAAGGCAAATTAGGAATAAATAGTTGTCTTCTTCAAAATTGGGGCTTTTTAAAGTTTGTATTTTGCTAAATTAAGATTAACATTGGTATTTTAACATTGAACGTAAAACTTAGCATTAAACCCTCCTTCTCTTTTGGGCTGGGACAGGTAACTCGGGTACTCGGGTCAAGTGGGTACTGAGTAGGACCCGGGTACCCACAGGACTACCTGTGATATATTGTTTCATGACAAAACTTATAAAGAACTTCATGGTTACACGACATCTCACTAATGTTCGCATTTCTTTCTGACTATGCACGCATTCCTTCTGACTTTTATATGTTTGAATAAAGATAAAACTTAAGTCAACTTCAGTGTATGCATGCCCAGATTATTTTATGCGAGTATCTAAATACATTTTGCCAGGGCTACAGTGAAACTATGCCCAATCAGACAATTTGTACCTATCTCCTGAGACCTACAGCGGGTACCCGGGTAGGGTCGGGTAATAGGGTGATGGGTACCCAGGTAGTAAATTCGGACTCGTCCCAGCCCTATTCTCTTTATTGATGCTGTTATTAGTGATATATAAATCACATCTACATGGCCATCATATTAGTTGTGAGTGTAACAGCATGAATTGGTCAATGTGTAATTCCAATTGTTGACTGACACTTGCTGCATGGAATGGACTTGGTGTGGAACAACAGCCTCTAGGCAGGTCTGGATAAATCCCTGCTCTTATCCCTGACTGTTGTGTTATAGTGACCCAATGACAAGCAGTGTTGATTATGCTATCAACCCCAAGTGTGGCCTAGACTTGATTATTTGAAAGCTGCCTTGTTATGGCTGGAATATTGCTAACAACATTCACTCACTCCTCACTAGAGCTGTAAAGATCCGGGGTTAGAACAGGTCTTCAGCAACCCATGCTTGCAGTAAAAGTTGACTATGCTTGTAAGAGGGATTGACAAATGGGATTGGGTGGTTAAGCTCACTGACTGGTTGATGCATGTCATCATATCCCAATTACATGGATCGATGTTCATGATGTCAATCACTGGATTGTCTGGCCCAGATTCAATTATTTACAGACTGCCGTCATACAGCTGAAATACTTCTGAGTGTGGCGTTAAACAACAAACAACAAGTAAACCAACAAACACTCCTCACTCACCTGTGTCCAGACTGATTATACATTGAATGATGTGTAGACAGCTGCTGTGATACACTCCACTCCACACAGGGCATTTAATGTCTCAAGGAAGTCAGTGTTGAGCAACAAGAACAAAAGTTTTCTGATTAGGGACTTTTGATTCGCTGGTCTTATACCTTCATCCTTTTTGTTTTACAGAAAGAAGAAGAAAAGGAAGCACTAATGCTGACAGAGGATTACATGGGTATGTAGTTAAACACTGTGCAGTATCTGGATCACTTGGACAGTTTGAGTATAATGGAAATAGACCACAGCTCAGTCTGGATGAGTGTTCCAAGTAACACCATCAAGTTTTGTGACTATGACATCACAGATTGTCCCATCCTAGTGGGAACTCCCTGGTTAAAGTTTGGCTGCAGATTCCCAGAAATGGTATATGTTTAAAAGCCCACTCATATTTCAGCCACTCTTGAATGTTTTTCCAATACTATTCAAACATGGCATCCTACCCTATTCACTTCCAATATATGGCTGGAATGTTGCTGAAACTATGAATTGTCATACTCACTCACTCACTCACTCAATCTCAAGCTCTCCTACCAGTAAATGAGAATAAGTTTTCCAGTGGTGGCACAATTTGCTGTGAAGAGTTGTGTCCCCTTAGCTGTGTCAGAATCTGCTTGTTTTTGATTGAATCATGTTTGGCTGTGATCTGGCTGTGTCTGCAGCCTAACTGGGGCTGTGGGGTTTCACAGAGTAATATTCACATTGTCCAAAACTTATGTAACTTGGGGATTTTCTCACACATTAAGCTCAACCTTGCTGTAGCAGAAATAAGGTTTAAAGCTGCAATAAACACAACTCCCTTCCTCACTGATTCTTCCCTCTGTAGAGACAATGGAAGAGATGCCGTGGTTGTACCTGACCTGTGACCTGCCGTCACCGCCGCTGTACCCAGATGAGTTGAAGGAGAACATCATCCCTCAAGTGCCCTTTGCAACCATCTTGTCCAAGTTCAATGGTGTATCGGAGAAAGAGTACAAGACCCACAAGGACAGCACCATGAAGAGATTTGAGCTGACTCGACTGCCGCCATATATCATCATATACATCAAGGTAAGATTCTGTAGCTACGTAACAAATGTTATATTGGGGATAAAACTTTTTTAGTAAAGTAAATGGCATTGTGTGTTCATAGCTTTCGGCCATGGGAGCCGTGCCAATTTACACTTGTCAGAGGGGTACACAAAGTATGTGATCTAGACTACCAGTTGTCAGACTTTCATTTTTGTGTACGTCTTGGTGGCTGAGTGGGTTAGATCGCTGACTTTGTGTGCTGGCGATTTGGTGCCTCACTCTGGCAGTGTGGGTTCGAATCCTGGACGGGACTAAACCCCAAAAAGTATGAGAATCTATACTTTACTTAGAAAGTGTTATCCCAAATATAGCATCTGTTACAGTTGACCACTTTTTAAATGGCATTGTGTGTTCTGTAGCTATGTTGAGACGGGGGTTGGCTGTGTCATGCAATGTCACAGTAATATCATAAGCGTGTGTTCAGCTGGTATCTCTGTTAATGTAAGAATAGATCATGGAGAAATCCAGGCTTTGAAGGAAGACTTTGCTCAATGTTCCAGTGTCTATTTTCTGTCTTAAATCTAGATTTGAAACTAAGATCATATGGTTGGCAATCAAACAAAGTGATTGTGAACAGGTTGAATTAAGCTTGTCTAGATTGCTAATCACTGGAGTTGGAGGTTGCTCATGATAACGACCATTGGCTGAGCTGGTCTGTCATCAGTTATTTACAGGCCGCTGTTGTATATCTGGAATGTTGCTCACTGAGGTGTCCAGCAACAATCAACAATGTATCCTCACAGGGCAGTATCATGCTCAATAGTAGGTATTTGCTGCTTCAAGTATGGGACGTCCTTTGAAGGGTTGCTGTCGGTATGATACATGTGCATTGTCTGCAGCATAAACCCTCGCTACATCTGCTGGCTCCTTTTACTTTAGATATTAATAAGACTTTTTGTTTTATTTGCAGAGATTTACAAAGAACTATTTTGTAAGAGAAAAGAATCCCACTATTGTGAATTTTCCTATCAAGTAAGTTTGATCTTCATTTCTGTTTTGAATATTACTATGTGATCATGTTGATGACGTTTGATTTGGTTATTCGTTAGAATTAGGTCAGTCTGGGAAATATTGACATGGTGGTATTTGGAGTATTCCTGTGAAGATGAGTGACACGTTTACTAATGTTTATTTTAATACCAGTAGCAATAATTAAAACATTGGCTATTTCAAACAATTTTTTGTATAATCTTTGCAATTTCTTTTATTAAAAGCTTATGACACCTTTGTTGATTAAATTAAGATTTAATTAGTGCAGATTCATAACTTAAGTTTACCAGCATCAGACACCATTGTGTAGGATTCTTCTGGAAGTTCTTGATGAAGGTCATGGGACTGATGTACTTGTTTCTGAAGGAACATCGACTTTGGAGACATGCTGTCTACTGAGGTGCGAGCCCAGCACAGGCACACATCGTATGATCTGGTAGCCAACGTAGTCCACGACGGGGAGCCTGGAGCAGGCAAGGGCACATACAGGGGGCACATCCTCCACAAGGTAACACACTCAACTGTCTACAGCTGTTTGGTAGCTTAATGCTGGAATCATATCTGAATCAGTGTGTGCATTCCGAGAATATACCTCAGGGAAGTATACATGTGTGTGTTTCTGACCTCAAAGAGGTATACATGTGTGTATTTCTGACCCCAGGGAGGTACACATGTGTGTATTTCTGACCTCAGGGAGGTATACATGTGTGTATTTCTGACCTCAAAGAGGTAAAGAATGTGTGTATTTCTGACATCAGGGAGGTGTACATGTGTGTATTTCTGACCCCAGGGAGGTATTCATGTGTGTATTTCTGACCCCAGGGAGGTATACATGTGTGTATTTCTGACCTCAGGGAGGGATACATGTGTGTATTTCTGACCCCAGGCAGGTATACATGTGTGTATTTCTGACCTCAGGGAGGTATTCATGTGTGTATTTCTGACCTCAGGGAGGTATACATGTGTGTATTTCTGACCCCAGGGAGGTATACGTGTGTGTTTTTCTGACCCCAGGGAGGGATACATGTGTGTATTTCTGACCCCAGGCAGGTATACATGTGTGTATTTCTGACCTCAGGGAGGTATACATGTGTGTATTTCTGATCCCAGGGAGGTATACATGTGTGTATTTCTGACCCCAGGGAGGTATACATGTGTGTTTTTCTGACCTCAGGGAGGGATACATGTGTGTATTTCTGACCCCAGGGAGGTATACATGTGTGTTTTTCTGACTTTAGGGAGGTATACATGTGTGTATTTCTGACGCCAGGGAGGTCTACATGTGTGTATTTCTGACCCCAGGGAGGTATACATGTGTGTATTTCTGACCTCAGGGAGGTATACATGTGTGTATTTCTGACCCCAGGCAGGTATACATGTGTGTATTTCTGACCTCAGGGAGGTATTCATGTGTGTATTTCTGACCTCAGGGAGGTATACATGTGTGTATTTCTGACCCCAGGGAGGTATACGTGTGTGTTTTTCTGACCCCAGGGAGGGATACATGTGTGTATTTCTGACCCCAGGCAGGTATACATGTGTGTATTTCTGACCTCAGGGAGGTATACATGTGTGTATTTCTGATCCCAGGGAGGTATACATGTGTGTATTTCTGACCCCAGGGAGGTATACATGTGTGTTTTTCTGACCTCAGGGAGGGATACATGTGTGTATTTCTGACCCCAGGGAGGTATACATGTGTGTTTTTCTGACTTTAGGGAGGTATACATGTGTGTATTTCTGACGCCAGGGAGGTCTACATGTGTGTATTTCTGACCTCAGGGAGGTATACATGTGTGTATTTCTGACCTTAGGGAGGTATACATGTGTGTATTGCTGACCTCAGGGAGGTATACATGTGTGTATTTCTGACCCCAGGGAGGTATACATGTGTGTATTTGTCACCATGGTGACCCTGAAAATTCTTGTGTTTTGTGTTGCAGGGCTCTGGGAAGTGGTATGAGCTCCAGGATCTCCATGTGGCTGACATCCTCCCCCAGATGATCACGCTGTCTGAGAGTTACATCCAGGTGAGAGATGCCCCCACCCCATCCTGTCAAGCTAAAACGCAAAATGAATGTACACTTATTTGTTGAGCTGGTGTAATAAATAACACAGAGGGGAGAAGCAGATTTGCTGTTTTGTGGGTATTGTGTCTTCTTTGGTACCAATTCAAGATCATGTTTAAGATTACTGTCTTCATTTTTCAGATTTTTGAGGTTCGTCGAGACATCGTGAATCCCTTCTACAGCAGTGATGGAACTAAACAGGAGAATATGGACACAGAGGTGCCGGATGCTACCAAGGACAAACCTAATGAATCATGATGACTGCTGGATGCTTTGAGGAATGGAAGTGTTTTTGCCAGTGTGTAGGGACAGGACAGTGCTTGCACTGGTGTAAAAAAAAATCTTGACCTGAGAAACAAGGAGAGGTTGCAGCTATAAGATTGATAAGATTGTTGACAATAGTGATCAGATTGTAGACAATTTTGGAAATGTTGTCAGACACATAAAAAAAGGGATGGCTTGCTGTCTGTCGCATAACAAAGGATACTGGTAGGTAGCTTCATATCCAATGAATCAATTATCATGACATTGTCCTGTGAGGAATCTGAGATAGAGTCCATTACCTAAAGCTTCTCACCTCAAGGAACCAACATGACTTTCCTGTTATTAACGTCTATGGCCTGATCCAGTTCGGGATTTCCTCCCATGCAGAATGAAATACTTCATCATAGAGATGTTTAGATCCAACCCTCTCTTTCATTCACTGTGTTTAGCTGAAAGTGTCTATTCACAATAATGTAAATTGGATTTCATTGTAGCAGACTGCCATATTGTACCTTGTTATAGTTGCAGATATGTTGTTGAATGTAAAATAAGGCATGGTAAGATAATCTATAAATTAACATTTATGTAACTTTCCTTGTAGTCACTTTCGATGGTCTGTATTGGGTGTGTCATCGTGTTTCATGTGTTTTTTCACGTGTGGATTCACGTGTGGATTCAGGGTTAGAATGAGACCCCACACCCCTATAATTGTCATGTGAAGCAACTACTTGGATCGGGTTGTCAGAATCACTGTCTTGTTTGATTGCATGTCATTGCGCCCTGATGACGTGGATTTATCACTGGAATATTCCTGAGGTTGGCTTTATGCAATGAACGAACAAACATCATGCATGTTTATCATCTTGTTTATTCTTTTGTCCAAATGACAAAACTGTTTACCTGAAATGAGCTACCATACTTGCGATGTTGATGAATTGCCTTGGTAGATTTGTTGACCTTGGGCCTTGCTGGGACCTGCTAGTACCATCATCATGGCTGAATGTGCCCCAGGGTCTGTGTACCATGTCATGGCTGTATGTGCTCCAGGTTCTGCTTGTATCATCATGGTTGTATGTGCCCAAGGGTCTGTGTATCATCATCATGGTTGTATGTGCCCCAGGGTCTGCTTGAATCATCACCATGGCTGTATGTGCCCCAGGGTCTGTGTACCATGTCATGGCTGTATGTGCTCCAGGTTCTGCTTGTATCATCATGGTTGTATGTGCCCAAGGATCTGTGTATCATCATCATGGCTGTATGTGCCCCAGGGTCTGCTTGAATCATCACCATGGCTGTATGTGCCCCAGGGTCTGTGTACCATCATGGCTGTATGTGCCCCAGGGTCTGTGTATCATCATGGTTGTATGTGCCCAAGGATCTGTGTACCACATAGCTGTGTGTGCCCCAGGGTCTGCATGTACCATCGTCTGGCTGTATGTGCCCCAGGGTCTGCTTGTATCGTCACCATGGCTGTATGTGCCCCAGGGTCTGTGTACCACATGGCTGTATGTTCCCCAGGGTCTGTGTACCACATGGCTGTATGTGCCCCAGGGTCTGTGTACCACATGGCTGTATGTTCCCCAGGGTCTGTGTACCACATGGCTGTATGTGCCCCAGGGTCTGTGTACAATCATGGCTGTATGTGCCCCAGGATCTGTGTACCACATGGCTGTATGTGCCCCAGGATCTGTGTACCACATGGCTGTATGTGCCCCAGGGTCTGTGTACCACATAGCTGTGTGTGCCCCAGGGTCTGCATGTACCATCATCATGGCTGTATGTGCCCCAGGGTCTGCATGTTTCATCATCATGGCTGTATGTGTCCCAGGGTCTGTGTACCATCATGGCTGTATGTACCCCAGGGTCTGTGTACCATCGTCATGGCAGACGGATGTATGCCTGACCCCATATGGGTTATCTCTACTACATTTGTGCAATGACTACTGTTGTGAATGTAAGTGAAATCAAATAAACATCTCATCAACTTACAGTGTTTTTCCTTTTTACAATTGTGTTTGCATGCACAGGATTGGATAAGTGAGCTCCAATGATCAACAGTACAGGAAGCGAAGCTTGGATCAACAAAATGTGTCCTGTTCTAATTCCCAGTTTCAAGTGCACAGACAAGATTATGGAGGGTATAATCTACAAAACATTTATTTTATACATCCATCTCATCACACGTGAACATGTGCATATTCATTTTCATTGAATTACTGTCCAAAGTGGACTTTAAACACTATATAAACCATGTAGTTGTAGGCTGGCTCTATGCACTCACTCAGCAAGGGTGTTTTGCCAGCTGAGGGAGCTAAGTGGCCAAGCGGTTGCCAACGGAACACCTGAGTTTGATCCTCCCATTTGGAATCCTTGTGTCAAGAAGGCCACTTGTAACAGTTCCATGACTGATTGTGTGTTTCTGTACAACTAGTGTGTGGATAGGATCATGTTGACAGCCCCTCTGGTTCAGACTTCAGACAAGATGCCTTGATGTACAAGGCCGTAGTTAATTTCTTTTGACGGGGGGGGGGGGCAAATATTTGTACAAGTATCACTTGTCCCAAACCTGATTCAAATAAAACTGATGTAGTAAAGGTTACTGTTTGTGGGTTGAAACTACCATTTGTGATATGTTTCACTGTTGAGCCTCAGTATCCTATGCTTGTTGCTTGTAGTTGTCAGCTAATGGATCCATCTGTTAAGGCACTGTGACTTGACTGTGTGTAATCATCTCATCTCATCTGTGTCTCAGTTGCATTGTTCAATGCCAACTCTTTTAGCGCGATGGTCTGCCTGGTCTAGACACAATGGTTTTACAATGGCTTACAGTTCGCAGGTGCATATTATGCTGGATCTTATGGATCCAGGCTCAAGCTGTCAACCACTGGTTTGCCAACAACAATCTTAAATAACTGAAAAACTGACTGAGGTAAATATACTCACCGACAAAAGAGATGCAAATACCATACATGTTGGTTACAATATAAAGAATTACTCATTTTCAAGAGACATTAGATTGGTTGTGTGAACCGACGTTCGTGAAGGCATCACATGTGATGTCATAGATCCATGACTAGAGATGCACCATTTGTCTCATGCAGGATTAGCCTGTAAAGTTTGGAAATCTCATGCAGCTACTTGATAGGAATGAGGACACTGTGGTAAGACATGACTGATTGTTTTGTCATTAATTGGTACATACCTCTCTATATGTTTCTATGGTTCGCGTTTCTTTTGGCAGTGAGTTTATATTTACTCCCTCACCCATATGTCTGTAAGTGCAAATGAACAGTTGTATGAAGCTGGTGCTATGCAAGTTCGTTATCATTATTATTAGTAGTAGTATTAGTATTATTATTAATCCGCACCATGTGGACAAAACTACAGTAATAAAAGTAATATCAACACCTTGTACATTTCCTCCATGAACTGGTCTGCTATGAATACAATCCTGCACCTGCCAACTAGAACACAGCTCCACACAATGCCAGTGTCAATTGCGTTTCAAGTGTCAGCCGTTACAATATAGATAATATAATGTCTAGCAACCTAGCCAGTGCTCACCAGTAGGCTTGACGTTGGTATCAGGTAACCTAATCACTACATAATCCGCTCACATACCTATTGCCTGGCTGTCGGAATGGCGGTCCCGTTAACTGCCGTAGATAGTCGTACATTCTGGTAGTTCATACCGAGACCCTGGTGTATATTATAGACCTCTGATTATGTCCTCCTATAATGGCAGCTATTGGTAGTTGTTCGACATGGTCTGACGGATGTACCGCGGTGGTGCGACCCTGTATATGATTGAGTTATTACATGCATGTATAGACTAGGTAACACGGTGTGACTTCAGCGATAGACTGGGAGTGTATCGCTCTCATTTGTTAAGGTATACATAGCAATGTGTGTGTTGAGGGATGCGTACTGCATGGTTAAAAACCCGTGAAGATCCAGGGTAGAATAGGTCTTCGGCAACCCATGCTTGCCGTAAAAGGCGACTAACGGGATCGGGTGGTCAGGCTTGCTGACTTGGTTGATGCATGTCATCGTATCCCAATTGCGTGGATCGATGCTCATGATGGCAATCACTGGATTGTCTGGTCCAGATTCGATTATTTACGAGCCGTCGTCATATAGCTTAATATTGCTGAGTGCGGCGTTCAACTAACAAACAAATAAACCAACTGCATGGTTAAAAACGTTTGGACGCATTTATGTACGCTTTGTGTTCTGACGGTAAACAATGTTGAGTGACAAGTAATATTTTAAGCTGAATAGCCACATTTAGAATACATTGTATCGCCAAAATGTTAAAATGCCTCATGCTAATATAGACACGAATTCCGGATATTTCTGTGCCTCTGTGTCTGTGGTTGAGTTTGCACCATACGATCCAGTGATTGATATTATGAGCAACGATCCACGCCAGGATACGTTGACACGCCATCAACCAAGACCCCGAGCCTGACCACCCGATCCATTTAGTCGCTTCTTATTTTGAAAAGAAAGATGATATTCCGAAGGGAAAATGATCAATATGTTGTGGTCGTCCCTGTCCAAGGTTCCATATGTGTGTATTTAGTTGACCACATAGTGGCGCGTTAGTTTTTGTAGAACCTCCATGGCAATGGTAATAAGGTATGGAGATAACCAGACAAGGCATCCCTTGACCTTACATTCATTGAGTCGAGACGCCCGGTACCCAGCACTGATTGAACGCAGTCATCGGACCCGCTCATCAGAAAGTTCCGCTGCATTTACCATGTGAATGAAGTATCGCAGCCACAGACCAAAAATCCTTAATTATAACAGTGGATTTGTTAAATGTTTAAACATCACAAAAAGTCATAAACAACCACTTTTCCAATTCAAACGCTTTCAATATTTATAAATCATAACCTATTTCCGACACGTGCTGAAGCATCATAGTCAAACACCACTTCACAACTAATTCTAAGCGCGTTAAATACTGCACAGTAATGTCAGTCTGTCCTCAAACCACATAAAATCTTGTGTGATAGGTATAGCTATCGCATGCCGGCTAGCTGCACGGTAGGTAGAGGCCAAGACTTAAACAAAACAAGACGTGTGGATTACACAGGGGCCAAATCCTCTAAATGGGTGATCGCTTTAGCGTAGCGGGATTTCTGTAAACCCTAGGGGGGAGGAAATACGGGCTTCTACGTCGATACATTAGCGAATTAATCACAAGTAGCGGGTAACCCAGGAGTCGTTGCCAATGGCTACCCGTTGTTAGAGCGAGCCCGATGGTATCGCCACTCCTCCTCGATAGACCGAGCACTACAGCATTCCTATCGCGGACAAGAAAAATAGAGGGATTTCTACAAGTGAACATTTATATTGAAAAACTTGACTGAGTGTGCTTGAAGTGGTCGAAATGTCACAGGTAGGATTTTCTCGCCCTGCCACCCAGCTCAGTGGGAGAGTTGGTGTAGGGGTTGGGGTAAGTCTGCCAGAAATCCAGCACCCTCTTTCCCGAATGAGCAACCCGGGGAATATGGATGTAAGAGGAGTTTCAAGAGCGGGAGACAGGCCAGGTTCGAACCCAGGCCTCGGTAGGCCTTTAGCGAGTGAAAATGTCTACCGTTTGAAGAAAAGTACGAGTGCTATGAGTACTGGAGAACGAAGAGAAAGTCGTCTAAGTTTCAGAAAGGAAGCCATGGCACCTCAAGACGCCATTGACACAATTCCAGAAGGTGTAGAGGTGACCTACGGGAATCCCGACAAGCCGAGGATGCCTGTCTTTGGTGAGTGTGATGTCTACAGTGTTTAATTTTGTTTTAAGAATCTCACAAATTAGTGAGAGTCATGTTGGCTGTCAACATTTATGCCTTCCTTTAAAGGTATAGGTAACGTGCGTGTCGGATCAAGCCGATTTCCATTTGCATCAAATTACTAGTACAGTATTCCGTGGTGTTAAAAGGCCATGGACAATGTATATTCGTGAGTGTTTGAAAGGCAAGGATGCTATAGTTCGTTTAATAACTGAATAAGGATACACACATTTCAGTTGACGATGGTTCATATATCGTTATATGTTATGCTTTTAGCAATACTAGACCCCCTTGGATGTTATATCATGCATTTAATGAGGTTAGTGGAGTGTATCCTCCGTATGGAAATGGATTGAATGGAATGTGTTTCGTTAAATTACAAATAAAATATGCATCTTTGATACAAGTCATTGTACATTTGGTAGTCACGGTAAATAAAGTTAATCTCACATAACCATAAAACATGCTACACAATAGAATCTTATTGCAAGAGTTCAACGAGATTTCATTGAGTTGGTTGGTTGGTTGGTTTGTTGTTTAACACCGCACTCAGCAATATTCCAGCTAACTGACGGCGGTCTGTAAATAATCGAGTCTGGACCAGACAATCCAGTGATTAATATCATGAGCATCGGTCCACGCATTTGGGACCGATGACATGCATCAACCAAGTCAGCGAGCCTGACCACCCGATCCCGTTAGTCGCCTTTTACGAGAAGCATAGTCGCCTTTTACGGCATGCATGGGTTGCTGAAGACCTATTCTTCCCCGGATCTTCACGGGTCAGATTTCATTGAGGTTGACCCAGACAATATCTAGATGTTATGAGACTCTTCAGTGAACACAGTTTTATTCTGTAGATAAGAGAAAATGGGTTTACAGTTATATGTTACCACATGGCGGCTATAGAAAATATCCCCGTATTGATGTGTCATGTTTGTTTTTAGGAGTGTTGTGTTCACTCTCGCACACGGGCCACTGTATAGACAATAAACAACGAATACATCATGTTTTAAATCTTCCTGGTGTTTATCTTGGATCTCTTTTGAATATAGTTTTGAACAACAGCTGGTTTCGTTCTACGAAGATTTCAAAGAGCGCCATACAACTCTTGCTTAAATGTTGTTTGATCAGGGTTACAGCGTTCAAGGCCTTTAATGGAAAAGATTTCGGGAGGTTTTATGGTAGATGTGGAGGTAATTTCCAAGTTTGACGCATCAGTGACAAGTGCAATGATGTCCGACGCAATTCCCTGTGCCATAAAGTCCCGTGTTTTTTTCCAGGTAAACAATTGACTTCCCTTTGCATGTGTTTAGGACGGATGTCATCGGTGGGGCAGGATACGCTCACACCTGATATCATCACTATTAAATATACACATGCTTATGATACAGTTGGAATCGTACAATGGCCTCTGCAGAGCAAGAAGGGAAGATTAGTGTTCATTGACACGATTAGTATTCATTCATGGATATTATTAGTATTAGTTGACAAGGTATTCATGGCCAATACTTAATATTATAAGACTGGTTACTTTTATAGACATGCAGCAGTATTCATGAACGAGAAGGATACTTCATTAATATCCCTGGCTATGTATGCAGTTTACATCCAGGAGAATTTCTTTTTTTCAAACAATACATTATCAATTACAATTTGTTTAAAAATGTTCTGTCGAGGAAATATATCATTTGATTAACGTTTTTTGGCCTCGGTGTCTCACGCTCCAGTGGCACTATTCGTCGTTGCGTCAAGATCGTGGTTGATTATGCAGCTGCACAGCCTGCCCTACATACCTTATCCCTTGACATTAACAAATCACTTTACTTAAAACAATACGACTCGCTGAGCTCCAGACGAAGTACACTGTATAAATCATGATAGATTGTCCAGATCGATATCGACCCCTGTGAATATAGCCTAGAACTGATCACATATTGCCGGGTAATCGAAAACCAAGTGACAGGTGGGTGCTCGCAGAGCGTTCAGCGACAGTGACTGTTAGGAACCAGAGGAGAGTGCAATAACCTTCCCCCATATGGTGGCCCAATATACATGGAACCTTGATTTCCCTGAACACTGAACGCAAGTGTCGGCTTTAACGCCGGCTTGAGCAATAATCAAGACATATCTGAGGAACAACATGAAAGCTCAGGGACGTAGATTATGTATGCCACCTGTAGAAGAAGAAGAAGCTTACAGCTGCACAAAGGCCGAAATGTGATGGTTATGTTTGTTTGTTTGTTTGTTGTTTAACGCCGCACTCAGCTACGTTCCAGCTATATGACGGCGGTCGGTAAATAATCGAGTCTAAACAATATAGTCCAGTGATTGATATGATGAATATCGATCTATGCAATTGGGATACGATGACATGCATCAACCAAGTCAGCGAGCCTGACCACCCGATCCCGTTAGAGGCCTCTTACGACAAGCATAGCCGCCTTTTACGACAAACATGGATTGCTGAAGACCTATTCTAATCCGGATCTTCATGGGTGGATGGTTATGTTCATAATATTCATACATACATGTCATTGTACGACAGTTTATAATTGCACATATGTATATTCATTTGCCGGTACACCCTCAGCCGACTAGAATGGGGATTGAGTTGTCACGATGATGGACCTGGCTGCTTGTGTGCCACCCGACTCCGTTTGCATGGATCGTGGCCTACTGATCTGTATGGTCATGGTTTAATGGTTTAACTCGCCGATAATGTAACTGACTGCAGTTTATAGAAACACTCCCTCCCTCACCTACCCACACTTGTGACAATTCGCTCTAAGTGACATCCATCCATTCATCTAAGATTTGTTGGACACTCAGGATTTTTATGTCCGCAATAATTATTTAACTGTTTGAATGGCATTCTAACTGTTTGACTATTTAATAATTTTATCGTTGTGAATTATTTATTAATACAGTAAATTACGGTTATAACGAACTCAAAGGGACTACTTATTTTAGTTCGTTATAACCGTAGTTCGTTATAAGCATATATACAGCATAACTAAAGCAAATAGTCGGGACCCCAAAAGTAAGTTCGTTATATCCGTCAGTTCGTTATAAGCGTGTTCGTTATAACCGTAGTTTACTAAATAGAATCCTTGTTAAACTTTCTGGGATATGGTTAGTTCGGTACCTTTTAAATTGTGTGTGGTTGTTATACGTCTTTCTTATCAGCCCTCGTTATCGAAAAGTAAACTCTGACGAGTTAATAGGCATGAAATAACTGGAGTGCTAGCTAGCACAGACTAAACAAAGGTAATTTAAATGTAAACACGTTAAACAACGTGAAGGAGTATAAAGCAGCCGCCAGATTTAATTAATTTGATAACTCTGTGAAATTTGTTCAACATTCCAAATTATTGGCTTAACTGATCCCTATTTTAAAAGCTATCATCACTTTCCTGTTTGTACTGACACACACAGACGCAATACGATCTACCATTGGAAACACAGCGACCCCCACGAAGTGGAGACGGGTTGTGATATGCCCGCGTTCCACGCTACATTTAACGTTTGGGATATGGCAGGGTTGTCTTCTTGCTCCTATCGGATAAACGACAGTTGTTAATTTAACTCATGTGGATGAGATGTGGAATGCCATAGTGTTACCATGAACGGAGTTAAAGTGTCATTTGATACATAACAATAAATAGGTAATACACATACATATCTATCTGTTTAAAATAAATAATATCTAATAATGTAACACAGTTTTATCATGTTTGTTTAACGATACAACTGCCATCTTAGGGCAATTCTGGTTTATGATTTTTAACCTAAACTTCTCAGACCAGTTATTGACTGAAAATATCAACACACGCAAACACTATTCAAGTTACAAACGACTCCGTGCTCTTCAGTCTGACACGCTCATACTCTATACATATCTCCTAAATCTGCCGACACATTGACCAGCTAAGCAATATTTGTGTATAAATATCGGCTTGAGATCTCCTGTCTGTAAGTTTTATTATGTTGTCGCTCTTGATAACACTGATTTGGTCATTTCCCCTTTCATCTAACTAATAAGGGCTTCGGATATGTTTTTTCGGTTAAGTAGGCATTGCACGGGGACATGCTACTGCAAAGTCAACTGCGTACAATAGTGTTAAGATAACTAGATATTGGCTATCATTCTGGTACAAGTGAATAAAGGCTTCGTTTGGCTGTATGTTGACAATCTAAGCAATAGAAGACATACAGGGCATATGTGTCGTGTGTGTATTCATTATATGGAAGGTAATTATTTCTTGACACCCTATATTAATATATCAAAGGAAGGAGACCATACAAAATTATCTCATTTTCATGTCAATCACAACCAGAAAATAACAAGGAACGAATGAGGTTGGATCACTTTAAAATGGTTGTTACCTAAGTCCCGACTATGAAGAGTATTTGTCGGTAAGACATAGATAGTGTGAGGCCTCGGTAAGGGCTTAGTAAAGGTTTCAATGGTTGATATGTGGGGGGAATTTCCAATATTGACGCATTAGTGACAAAAATGATGTCGGATGCAAATAATTATTTTGCCATGCTTCGCTCACATTATCGCGAACACCTGGTATCATCACTATTTGAAAGTGATTCATTAACATTTGCTTATGGATTCTGCTTTTAGCACAGATGTCCTATGGTTATGGAATTGGCTTTCTCTCTTTTATTTACAAATTGGTTCATTCACAAGAGCGGCTCACTGATAAATATAATCTTTTCAATCAGTTTTAAAATTGTAAGTAATTCGTCGAAAGGAGAAAGTAGACACCTTCATTTCTTTACTTAATATTATTCAAACCAAAACTAGCATCGTTTTTGTTTTAATTATGGTTGCTTATTCATTACGTCTCTGATAAACAGACTTAAACTAAACATGACAAATCATGTTCACATGTATACAGGTTTAATGTTTGCTGTAATTCGTTACTTCTTTATGATGCAAGTGAGATCGTCTACACGAG